TGTAAGTAGAAGTAGCAAGACGTACCTGTAATCTTGCATATTTATGAGACAGACAAAAGACATCAGCAATCCTACCATCATGTAAAACAATCACAGGCTTCGTTTTACACTCACTTGGCAGGACGGTAGTACCTCCCTGGGTGGTTGCTGTCTACCAACCTACTACCATAAATAGCATGCTAAAAATATCTAGCCAAGACAGGACTCGCAGCAATGGTTTTAAGTTGGAAAAATTCAAATTCAGGAAGGCTATAGGAAAGCACTGGTTTGGTAATAGAGTTGTGCACGAGTGGAACAAATCCTGAGTACCGTCATAGAAGCTAAGACGTTGTATAGTTTTAAAAATAGGTTAGATAAATGCATAGTGGGTGTAGGGAGGTGCGAGATGAACCTGACCAGCTTAAATGAATGTGACCTGACCTGACTAGGTGGATCATTAGTTTAAGCCAGGAGGTGACTTGGACCTGCCTCACATGGGCCAGGCCGCCTGCTGCAGTGTTCCTCCTTTCTTATGTTATGTTCCTAGTAATACAACATTTACAGCTTTCAAATAAAGTCCCTTGTATATCAAGCACTTGGCCCTTACTACAAATACTTCAGGATCTTATCTGAAGAGGCAAGTGTTATCAGATCCTGCCATAACAGCTGCAGACCTCAAGAAAAAAACAGGTGGGAGTGAGGCAGCTGCTGCTTTCCTGAGGTTGTAACTTGCCATACTCGTCACCTTCGGGTCTGTGGCTACGCATATCACAGACACTCCTTGCTCTAATACGGTAAGTGCACGGGTCTTCTCTGCAACTGAAAGTTTAGTCTGACCCATTCTGACCACTTGGAGAGGAGATATAGCGTGGCAAAATTCACGGTCGAGTGAAAAAAGGGGCACTGAGAAACGACACAGCAGGCCTCCTTCCTCACCGACCTCTGACGCATGGCATGGTGGAGAACAATGGAAGAAGACGGGCTCCAGTACACTACATCGTCACGCTTTTCCTATGGCGGAAACCCACGTGAGATGATTGCACCAATATTTTGTGTATATATATTGTTTTAGTGTTGGACATGTATAGATTTTTCTTGCACTCACTGTACAATGAATATTTATAATACTACAATTATTTTATACTCAACAAAACATGGAAATTATTCACAGTCTGACTTTACTGGGTTATATAACTAGTGTGCTTTGTGGCTGAATTCCATCGATATTATCATAAAATTGTAATAATTTTGGATTGAATAAGTCATCTTTGAGCCACTTGCACACCCTATTGGTAGGGAAGCTGGTGGTTCCTTTGTTTACCTTTGAGCTAGTGGGCCACACTAGTATGTTGGACAGTCATCACCTGACTAGTCAACCATGATACATTGTGTGGACTCTGCTGGACTTTGATTTTTATTTTAAATGTACAAGTAAATGGAAGAAGACAGTTGTGCTGAAACAAAAATATTGGCAGGAGGCAGATCTGTGGGTGCAAAACATGATGTGTACTAGTATGTCAGACACAGTATCAGCACCTGTGTAATAGCATGTCAGACACAGTACCAGCACCTATGTACTAGTATGTCAAGACACAGTACCAGCACCTGTGTACTAGCATATCAGACACAGTACCAGCACCTGTGTACTAGCATATCAGACAAAGTACCAGCACCTATGTACTAGTATGTCAAGACACAGTACCAGCACCTGTGTACTAACATGTCAGACACAGTACCAGCACCTGTGTACTGGTATGTAGGACACAGTTGAAGGATTAATACTAGAACTAGCATAACACAAATATTCTATAGACATAACCAACTTTAAATCACAATGATGGATTACAATGAGAGTCATATAATTTCAATGAGAGTGACATAATGCCACACCCCGACAATTTCGCGCGCTTTGGAAAAAAATATCGAAAAATTATGGAAATTGAGTTATTCATATAGAAAAATAGCTTAACTCTTTGGCAACACAATGGTACAAGAAACAATGTTCTACGACATTTCTACAAGAAATTATAGTCATTTACATCAGGTATGGTGACGGCGGTGTGGGTAGCACGTCTGCTGTCAGCCCATATATTTTTTTGGAATTTTTTCCTTGTTTTTTATCGCTTTTTCTTGCATTATTCTTTCTAGAATAATAATTGACTATTTGGCATCATATAAGAGTAGTTGGAGCTTATCAATAGACTTCTAGCCAATCAGGAAGCACCTGGGAACACCGGCAGAATTCCCGGTCCAGAGAGAGCCAGGAGAAATCACTTCATTATTACGCTTTATATCAACTGTACGGCTTATTTATCTATCAGAATTTATCTAATATGATATAATAAACACTATAAATAACATACAAACATGTTATATACTCTAGACTGAATAAAATAGGCCATAATATGGCGAGAGTCCATAAGGAATATTTCAATGTAAATGAGTTACTCCTCGTCTCCATGTCATATTCTTTGGTCTTTGAGTGATAGAAAACGGTGTTTTGAAGAGGATAACTGCACTAGAACATCAGTTTACTAAGAAAACCACCGAAACAAACACAATTTTTGCGAAAAAAACTTTTTTTTTTTTTTTGAGACGGCAGGCCGGCCGGCGTTCCAGGCCAATATCTCGGAAGTAACTTATTCACTTATTTCGCTGTACTACGCCATTATTAATGATTGTATTGAAATTATTTTCACAGACAATATAAAACAAAGTGTGTTTGACTATTTGCTGCTTCTTTTCTTGGAATATCTCAAATATTTTTGATTTTGTGGGGGTAAAAGGCAGATATTTTGGTGAATGCCAAAAAGTCTATCAAATGTATTTTTTTTACCATGATAATAAGATATATTAGATGAAAGATGTGCACCCAAAAGTCGTGTTAGACGTATTCTAACAGTAGGGATTGTCGGAAGTGCCACTTGTAGTGCCAATTTGTCACGGCATGCTGCCATATATCAAAAGTCAGTAAATATTTTTTTCTCTGTTGTTTGTTGGCCAATCATATTGAAACTTTGTCGCATTCTTCTACATATGCACCTCTAAACGTACACCAAAAATAAAAAAATCGGTTGAAAAATAAAACAATTGGCCGAAATTATGAGCCTTCAACCTTAATACTTGACAATATCTGCCAACATATTTTCATATAGCCGGACTTGAGTCCTGGAAATGGGAAGTACAATGCCTGCACTTTAAAGGAGAGGTTTGGGATATTGGCAGTTTGGAGGGATATGTTGTGTATCTTTATACGTATATGCTTCTAAACTGTTGTATTCTGAGCACCTCTGCAAAAACAGTGATAATGTGTGAGTGAGGTGAAAGTGTTGAATGATGATGAAAGTATTTTCTTTTAGGGGATTTTCTTTCTTTTTTGGGTCACCCTGCCTCGGTGGGAGACGGCCGACTTGTTGAGAAAAAAAAAAAAATTCTACTATGTCCAGCAGTAACAAAAAATATTTCTAGACAGTGTTAATTAACATCCTCATTCTCTATACTAACAATTAATATTTTAAGTTATCATTTAGTATATCTTGTACTTTTTCCATGAGGGAACAAATGTTTGATAATAAGATTATTCCAAAATTACATCTACACATTTTCTCCACAATAATCAATAAATGTCATAACAACATTTCAAACTAACAGACATTCAAACATTTCATAGTGCAACAAAATGACTAAAATAAGTACCAGTAATTAGAATTTTTTAAATAATAAATAATGTGGTACAACAATGGTGTGACACTTACATAACTAATCTTAGTTAGCTATGAGACACTTACCATCTTTACTTGTAACAACGACAAACTACATTTTTAACAATCTGCAGTAGAGGGGAGGACGGGAAGGGGTTGTCCTAGGAAAGGATGAATTAGAGGGAGAGAGTATGGAGGAGGTGAATGTATTCAGATATTTGGGAGTGGACATGTCAGCGGATGGGTCTATGAAAGATGAGGTGAATCATAGAATTGATGAGGGGAAAAGGCTGAGTGGTGCACTTAGGAGTCTGTGGAGACAAAGAACTTTGTCCTTGGAGGCAAAGAGGGGAATGTATGAGAGTATAGTTTTACCAACGCTCTTATATGGGTGTGAAGCATGGGTGATGAATGTTGCAGCGAGGAGAAGGCTGGAGGCAGTGGAGATGTCATGACTGAGGGCAATGTGTGGTGTGAATAAAATGCAGAGAATTCGTAGTTTGGAAGTTAGGAGGAGGTGCGGGATTACCAAAACTGTTGTCCAGAGGGCTGAGGAAGGGTTGTTGAGGTGGTTCGGACATGTAGAGAGAATAGAGCGAAACAGAATGACTTCAAGAGTGGATCAGTCTGTAGTGGAAGGAAGGCGGGGTAGGGGTCGGCCTAGGAAAGGTTGGAGGGAGGGGGTAAAGGAGGTTTTGTGTGTGAGGGGCTTGGACTTCCAGCAAGCATGCGCGAGCGTGTTTGATAGGAGTGAATGGAGACAAATGGTTTTTAATACTTGACGTGCTGTTGGAGTGTGAGCAAAGTAACATTTATAAAGGGATTCAGGGAAACCGGCAGGCCGGACTTGAGTCCTGGAGATGGGAAGTACAGTGTCTGCACTCTGAAGGAGGGGTGTTAATGTTGCAGTTTAAAAACTGTAGTGTAAAGCACCCTTCTGGCAAGACAGTGATGGAGTGAATGATGGTGAAATTTCTTCTTTTTCGGGCCACCCTGCCTTGGTGGGAATCGGCCAGTGTGTTAATAATAATAATAAAAAAAAGGTTTTGTGTACAAGGGGCATGGACATACAGCAGACATGTGTGAGCATATTAGGGGTGGAGACAAACATTTTCTGGGACCTGATGAGCTGATGCAGTGTGAGCAGGAAAAAATAGTTTGTGAAGGGATTCAGGGAAACTGTTTAGCTGAACTTGAGTCCTGGAGGTGTGAAGCACAATGTCTGCACTTTACAACAGAGGTTTGGGATATCTGCTGTTTAGAGTGACATCTCACTGTCATATCTGCAGGCTTCTGCAAAGACAGTATGGTGTGACTCACCGGCACAATCCTGGGCAACATAGATGCAGATTCTTTGTAAATCAGGAATGTACTTGGAGCCCATTTCAACAGCATCTCTGAAAGGCAAAAAATCATTCATTTGCCATTACTTTTTATGCCTCTAATGCATTTTTTTTTTTAATCTATTTCTCGTTTCTTCATCCACTGTGACCCCTTCCACTCTTTCATCATCCACTGTCACTCCTTCCACTCTTTCATCATCCACTGTCACTCCTTCCACTCTTTCATCATCCACTGTCACTCCTTCCACTCTTTCATCATCCACTGTCACTCCTTCCACTCTTTCATCATCCACTGTCACTCCTTCCACTCTTTCATCATCCACTGTCACTCCTTCCACTCTGTCATCTATAGTTCAGCATTTTTAAACATTTTTGGGAATATTTTCAAATTTGCTTATAATACCCCAGGAGTAATATTTTTATGCTGATTAACAATATATACTTAAAAACATAAAAAGAGAAACATGGGTTTTAACATGATACATGGCTTTTTGTTCCTGTGATTTCCCTAATATGACGTCATACCATCCTTTGTTAACTCTCACTTTCTCTCTCACTTCTTCCTCCTGGGATTCACACATTATCTGTAAATTGTTACACATTTTTAAGTTGTTGTTATGGTTCTCACTATCTGATCTAGTGTACGTTACCTTAATAATGTCTTATAAGGTCTAGGTGGAATACTGTACTTACATTCATGATTAGTCCTTCAGTCTCTGAAAACCCGTTCATCTATCCTCACAGTTAACAAGCTATTTAAACCAATATTACAACAATAACATTATAAAGTTAGGTAATTACAATTTGTACACGTTCAGCATTCTGGCGCAGTCTTCCCATTCATAGCAAGAGATACCTACTCTAGTCGGAGCCTGACCAGTACAATACATGGTACCTATTTACATGGTCTCATCTGAAACAATTATTACTCCTGTCTCCCTTGTGGCCTTAACCCAGAATGTTGATACACTGTAGCCACTTTGGATATAATGGTTACAACATCAAATATTAATTAATCACAAATGTTAGCTCCTGGACACTCACAGAGGTAGAGTGGGGCAGTTCCTTCCAGCCTGGATACACAACAGTAAGCCAGGCTCTCTCCTGCTTGTATGCCCATAACAACAAACCATCACCACGCACAGTTCCTTAGCTCCTACCATAGTTACTATACCTTACTATACCTTATTTTACTTTTCAAATGCTATCTTTACAATCTACTTATTGTAACTTTCTTTTGCAGGAATGGACCCATCTGACCTGTCTACATAAGTGATCAGTTCTCATGACAGAATTAAGGCATTTATGCATCTCAGCACTTTGTAATAATTAGGAACTTCAAACAATGAGTCTAACTACTAGAGTGGACCCCCCCTTAACGATCACCTCCCAATGCGACCAATTATGTAAGTGTATTTATGTAAGTGCGTTTGTACGTGTATGTTTGGGGGTCTGAAATGGACTAATCTACTTCACAATATTCCTTATGGGAACAAATTCGGTCAGTACTGGCACCTGAACATACTACTGGAATGAAAAAATATCGTTAACCGGGGGTCCACTGTACTTAGTTTCATATACATTTTGGGTTCCATAACCACAAACTAAACCTTCACGTATATCAGCTTTTGTTTTAATCTTATCCACTACCTTCAGTCTTATTTCTTTATCAAGTGTTGATATTTTCAAAAATATTTTTTAAACAACATTCAATTACTGTATCATTTTATAATTGTGTAGGCCTATCTTTGTGTAGGTTTATCTTTGTCAAGAACACCCAGCAAATAGGCAAAACTGGATTGAAGTTCATACGTTTTTGTTTTCAACAAACCATCAGTCTCCCGCTAATGTACGAGACCCTAAAAAGAAGAAACACCTTCACCATCACTCACTTCATCTTGCCAGAGGTGTGCCTACACTACATTTCCCTCCTTCACAGGTGTGCCTACACTATACTTCCCTCCTTCACAGGTGTGCCTACACTACACTTCCCTCCTTCACAGGTGTGCCTACACTACACTTCCCTCCTTCACAGGTGTCTCTACACTACACTTCCCTCCTTCACAGGTGTCTCTACACTACACTTCCCTCCTTCACAGGTGTGCCTACACTACACTTCCCTCCTTCACAGGTGTCTCTACACTACACTTCCCTCCTTCACAGGTGTCTCTACACTACACTTCCCTCCTTCAGAGTGTGGATATTTGTACCAGCAATACACTGTAGCCCAAGTTAGGTTTATCTCCTAGGGAAATTTTTTTTAGTCATGCCTGGAAAAAGCTCTTAAGAGTGAATTATTGAATGAGTATGTGTGAGTGAGGTGAAAGTGTTGAATGATGATGAAAGTATTTTCTTTTTGGGGATTTTCTTTCTTTTTGGGTCACCCTGCCTCAGTGGGAGATGGCCGACTTGTAAAAAAAAAAAATGTATTATTATTATTATTATTATTATTACAGGCTAAGTATCCCTTATCCAAAATTCAAAAAGCTACATCAAACTTTTTTTGTGACCGCACAAAAGGAAAATTTAAGTGGGCTGTGGGGAGGTTCCCAGGCACTATGAACATCACTGTGTAGCCAGACACTTGCAAGTGTGACCTTACATACCCTGGGTCACCCTCAGATGCCCTCTTTCTGCCAGTTTGTTATAGTTACCACTGTAAGACCTTAGTACAATACAGCCTCTCCTCACTTAGCAACGTACTCGTTTACCGACGTCTCAGACTTACGACGGACTCTCTGACCAGTATTTATACCTAAATAATGAATATTACAGCTGATTTCCTTTTTTCCTGTATATTTCAATATACATTTACACTACTGTATAAACATATTAAAACATACCAGTTTATGTTATAAATGGTGCAAAAGTGACTTTTAAAACAATATCGAAGAGGGTTTGACACAAACCCACTACCACTGAAGTATGCTCCTCACTTAGTGACGAATTCGTTTAACAACGTGGTCTCGGGAACGGAACTCCAGCGTTAAGTGAGGAGAGGCTGTACTCGCTATGATTACCTTGTGTCTGGTGCTTATTTTCTCTTCTGTCTTGTAAAGACAGTGTTGCAATAGTCAATAAGGCCAGTAGATGCTGCTATGAGTAACAGTGATAACAGTGTACACAAGTCTTTTAATCAAAACACAGCATTGTAGGTCGATATTCAAAGCCTCCCGTTCTTTACTGTTTTTTTAGCAACTTATGCAGGTACTGTGACAATGATGCTACGCTTTTTTATTACAAATATATAAAACTACCGTATTTTGCGGCTTATTATATATTTTTTTTTCTATAAAATGTCTCCAAAAACCAGCCTGTGTCGTATAAACTGAAGGTCAGTGATGGGAACTATAAGTCTAGGGTGTGGGGTGGGCTGTAGCTCTCCCAGTTACATCCGATGCTGAGCCACTGAAACTAAAACGAGTCTAGTAGTATTTCACGTCTTATAAGCTGCGAAATACGATACATTCAGGATGTGCGTAAAAACCTGGATTTTTTTCGTGTTAAGACGCCTGCCAACTCCCATCAAGGCCGGGTAACCTAACAAGAAAAACACAAGTTTTCCTTTTTACATTTACGTAGTAATACAGTGGACCCCCGGTATTCGATATTAATCCGTTCCTGAGAGCTCATCGAATACCGATAATATCGAAAACCGAATCAATTTTCCTCATAAGAAATAATGGAAATCAAATTAATCCGTGCAAGACACCCAAAAGTATGAAAAAAAAAATTTTACTACATGAAATATTAAGTTTAATGCAATAGAATAATTACAATAACAATAAAATAATTGACACTTACCTTTAATGAAGATCTGGTGATGATTGATGGGATGGGAGGAGGGGAGAGGTGTTAGTGTTTACAAGGGGAATCCCCTTCCATTAGGACTTGAGGTAGCAAGTCCTTTTCCGGGGTTACTTCCCTTCTTCTTTTAATGCCACTAGGACCAGCTTGAGAGTCACTGGACCTCTGTCGCACAACAAATCTGTCCATAGAGCTCTACCTCCCATTCCTTTACAATTTGTCTAAAATGGGCACAACATTGTCATTGTAATAGTCACCAGCACGGCTTGCAATAGCTCTCTGAGGGTGATTTTCATCCATAAAGGTTTGCACTTCAACCCACTGTGCACACATTTCCTTAATTTTTGAAGTAACCACAATGGATTCCACAACTGGCATAGGCTTCTCAGGGTTAGCCCCCAAACCCTTCAAAATCTTTCGTAATTTCCATACTAATTCTCACCCTTTTTACCACAGAGTTGGCACTAGAAGCTTTCTTGGGGCCCATGGTGACTTATTTTGCAGAAACAAGCACCAAACACAGTGAAAATATGGATATGGAATGTACCGAATGTATCCTTAGATGCGCGTACACTGGCTGGCTTGTAAACAATGGCACACATGGGGCAGTTCAGGCCACACATGGACAGGTCTCGTACGAATCGTATTGAATACCGGGTTTTCAATCGAATATCGAGGAAATTTTTTTGCGATATAATGCATCGAATACCGGATTTATCGAATACCGATGCCATTGAATACCGGGGGTCCACTGTAACCTGCATATAAAGTATAAATGGATTTTGTCTTTAGACTTGTGTTCCATCCCCAAGTTACCTCGTTATATTACAAAATCCAAAACATTTCAAAATCATAGACACTTCTGGCAAAAAGCATTTTGAACAAGGGATTCTCAACCTGTATTGTCATTAACATTTTATTGTTATATTGTAGAGGTGGATTAATACATCACCAGGGCCATACAACATCACCAGGGCCATACATCACTAGAACCATACATCACCAGGGCCATACATCACTAGAACCATAAATCAACAGGGCCATACAACATCACCAGGGCCATACAACATCACCAGGGCCATATATCACTAGAACCATACATCACCAGGGCCATATATCACTAGAACCATACATCACCAGGGCCATACATCACTAGAACCATACAACACTAGGACCATACAACATCACCAGGGGCTTTCTGCATGCTTAACCAAGTGTCACCATCACTGTACATTTTATCATGTGGA